AACTAAATGTCTGTTTGTTAGCTGACGTCAAAATCAAAAAGAGCTGCTATTTTTTTGGCTCTTTATTTTACTTACTCATCAGAAAGAAGACTAGTCTTGTTTTTTTACACACTTTATTTATAATATTTGATTTGACGTTAAAAGATGCTTTTTTTCCAGGAGATAAGATTTTATTTTACTTTATTCTTTCTTTTCATCAGTTTTTCAATAGCACATGCACTGCTAATCACATGTTGATGATGATGATGATGTTGATGATGACGATGATGTTTGCTCTAGTTTTTGTTTTAGCTTTATCTAAACAAATACGACCATCGCTAGACGAATCTATGATGAACAACATAACAGCGTTAAAAGGTGACGACGTTAACTTCAGGTGTAGAGTGAATAATTTAGGCAAACATCTAGTAAGTTTTATTTTTATCAAATCTGAGCAGTTCAGACAAATGTTTTTGGCTCTTTACACACATTAACACAGTTAAAGATTTGTGGTGTAAAATTTTTGAACTGCGAAATAATGGTCAACTGGTTGACAAAGAGGATTCTTTTTGGCTGCTTTTTATATTTGGTATTTAGCACCGTTATCGAGTGTCGAAAATAATGGTAAAACAATATATTAACAATTATATTAATATCACAAAGTCTGCATGATAAATTTTAAAGTAGAAAAATGAAAACAATTGATTAGCTAAGTAAAAAAAAATTTTTTTTTTGTTTTTTACAATGTAATCTCTTTGACTACCACTGCCAAATTTTGACAATTCACAACAAATGCTTTATTGCTTACGAAAATAAATAATTTAAAATCATTAATTACTTTACCTTAACGATGCCGCAGAGAACAAAAAAGAGAAATCTTTAATGACAAAAAATAGAAAAATTCGTATATTTTATGTGAAAAAATTTTAGTGCAAAATATTTGGTCAATTTAAGCAGCTGAGGTAAAATTTATTAATGATATTTTGCTTGTTGCTTGATACATTCTATTGGCTTTGAAACATTGAGCCAAGTATTAGTATATGGTAAACGGTGTATATCTTATAAGTTGAGCAAATGACTGAACAAATAGAACGTTCTCTCAATTTTATTTTTCTTATTTTTCCTTCTTCAAATATCCTTACAAATTTATGTGTTTTCTGTTCAACTCAATTGAAATTGGAGTCAAAGTTTTCTCATTATTCTATTTTGACGCTCGTTACACAAATATAACAGTCTAAATTCTCGGGGGAGAGATCAACTCTAATCAAATATTCGCCGATGAAATAAACAATAGTTGAGAGATGAGAAAAAAAAAAGAAAAAAAAAGAGTAGACAAAAATGTGTTGTGTGTGTTTGTGTTAAAATTGTTTTTTTTTTCTTCATTATACTTCAAAAACAAATATTTTTCTTTTGCTACCAAAAGCTTCAAATTAACAATATTTTTTTTTTTGAGAACATTTCACATATATTAATTGTTTCAAACTTCAGGTTGCCTTTGCCCATGTCAACTATCGAACTAACTTAATCTCCACAGAAGACAAGGCATGTTTTGCTTGAACTGTTCATTCAATGACAATAACAGCAATAAACCGAAAGTAATGGCAAAACACCATTTGACCTCTGACCATATTGTCAGACGTTATGTAATTATGTGTCATCATCAAGGTTCACACAATATGATCAGCTAATTAATCAGAAAAATTAGGAAAATTTCTGGTTTTTGGCTTTTATCTTTCAAAAAAAAAATTGCCGCAAAAAAAATGATATTTTTCCGCTTGTCAAATTCCTCTTTTTTTTTTTGTCTTTTTTGTTCGTATGCAGATTCACTAAAAACAAAAATAAAAGTAAAAGAAAGAAAAAGGATAGGAAAAAGAACAAACTATTTTTAACACAATTTCAGTCTAGTAACACTAAATCCACTTCAAATGCTTCTATTTGTTTTTATAATAATCAGTAATAATCGAGAAAATGAGTTAAGTGGGATAAAAATCTTTCCTAATGTCTTCGCCTTCATTTATATGTGACGCAGTTGCAACCACAGACAACAGATGACACAATGCGGCTTTATTAGAAGAAGATTTTTTTTTCTCAATTAACACTTTTTAGGTGTTTGATTCATTGTCTTAAATATTTTTTTATTGTTTTTTTATTTGTTAGGTGTTATATTTTGTATATCACGTTTAGGTGTTTGTTCGGCGAGACAAGTATGAAGTGACAATAAAACCAGAAAACAACGAACGGGTGCTTCACATAAAAAATGTTGACGTTAGTTAGCAGAGTTCTTTTTTTTTTTTCCGTAGTTTCAGTAATTTTCAATTGAATCAAATAGTCGGATTTGTACAGACGATTCAATAAGAACAGACGACTGTAGTTGTTTGTGGAAGAATCTGTGAGATCATGTGGTAGCACAATTGGGTGGGGGCCGTTTCGTGCTACAGTGCACGGGGGTTCGATGCCCGCCTGTAAACAATTAGGGGTGCCAGTGAAGAAAAAACATGCACCACTCTGAAGAAGCTGTGTGGAAGCGTAAACAACCTTCTTAACCATTTCAGAGGCAACTGCTTTCTTTGTTTAGGATGTTGGAAGGAATATAGTGGATTCCGTTTTTACAGCAATAATAACGTATTTGATCCATGTGTGAACAAAAGAAGAAAGAATTTCCAGCTTTTATCATAATACTTCTAGCATTGTTCTATTTTTGTTTAGGAACATGATATCGGAGGTTATCTGTGCCAAGTCAATACGGAACCGGTGATCTCCAAAATTGGTTTTCTGCATTTAAAAGGTTATTTATACATAACATTCACTTTCACTTAATACGATTTTAACTAAAAATTTATCAGTATTACTTTTTGCTGTTGTTGTTATTATTAAAAAGCTTATTTTGTCTAAATTCTTTATCATTGGTAGCCAGTAAATAATAATGTAAGACATGCCAGTAGTAAAGAAGCAGATAAAATCAGTACTTTTAGAGTCTAAAAACGATAAGTTTCTTTAACTGTTTGGAAGAGTTAATGCAAAAGGAAATAGTTTGAAAAAAAAAATACAAATAATTTTCTAAGTAAAAAAATTGCTTTATCAAAATTTATTTATCTATGTAACTATTTGTCTTTTTTTTTTTTCTTTCTGCATTAGTTTCGTATGTTTAAATTTTTGAAACAAATGCCTTAAGTCGCAGCTTTTCGAGAAGAATGAGAGGATTTTTCTTTTTTTTGGCTGATGTCAAAGAACAACTTTTACTGAGTTTGGTCCATTAGCGACGTTGTTTTTAGTTTGAGCAAATTAACATCCAATCTCGTGGTTGTTCCCGTTGTTCGATTTGTCACTTTTTGTTCCGTATTTATTTTAAGCAACTGTCAACGTTTATCCACCATTTGATATTCCCACGAAATCTTAATCCTTTATCCACAACCACCAAATGTGATCCATTAAAATAAGAAGTCAGAGCGGAAAAAAAAAA